CGTGTCCAGCAGACAATGGAAGAGCATTTCAAGCAAAGAAAGGTGGAATGGAACCGCTGAGCGCGGAAGATCACCACACGTACAGAAAAGGAGTAGGGATATTACTGTATCTTGCGCCTGAGAGGCCAGATATCATGTATGTCCTGAAGAAGCTGTCGACAAAGCTAGCATCACCCGTTGAAGCAGACATGGAACTGCTAAGGTACGTTGGAAAGTATCTGAAGGGAACGCCTGAACTTACGTTGGTACACCAGGAAAGTTACCCTGGAAAGAGTTTTCTGGAAGTGAAGAACAGAAGCGACAAAGGAAATGTCGAGAGAGACAACTACAAAGTGCCAACATTGATAGAGGTGATAAGCGACAATGATTGGGCAGCAGACCGAGAGTCAAGACAAAGCGTTTCGTGTGGAGTGATAATGGTGAATGGAAATCTGGTTCATTTCCAAAGCAAGAGGCAAAAGAGCGTGGCATTATCATCTTGCGAAGCCGAGACAATCGCAGCGACATCAATCTTAAGCGAAGGTGTATTCCTGAAAGGATTGCTGACAAGAATCCTAGGAGTAGAACCAAGACTGATGTTATACAGTGATTCGTCAAGCTCAAGGCAGTTGATTTCAAGAAAAGGCTTAGGCAAGGCACGCCATCTACAAGTGGACCTCCAAAGAATCCCGAAGCTTGTTATAAAGGCAATAGCAGGCAAGGACAATCCGTCGGACCTAGGAACAAAATCCCTGACGAGAGAGAAAATACGAAAATACATGCTAAGTCTGGGATATACAGGTGAGTATTTGACACAAGATGTTCAAGAAGTCCGAGAAGAAGCTGAAGTCCGAAGATCAAGAAGTGTTACAAGACTTGATGAAAAGATGATCACAAGGATTATTCAAGTGGTCACGACAGCAGTGTTGTTATCGTTGACTGAAGCAAGAAGAGACGGTGAAGAAGGTGAACAAGGACTGGGAAGAGCAAGCGTAGTGATGTGCATGGTTGCAGCATTGTTGTACATATGCATTTCCAAAGCCGTTTTGCTCAAGAGCTTCAAGAAGATCCTCGTGGAAGAAGAAAAAGAAGAGGATAAAGCCAGAGCAATGGCCGATGATGAAGCCTTGAAGGTGATCATTACCGACAAGTGCAGAAGTATCAAGTCAACAAATTACATTGAGAGATTGCTCAAGCAGAGAAGAGAAGACAGACCGAGCGCCGATGAGATCTGGAAATTGGTAGAGACGACGTTCAACCAAGAACGGGAGGACAAGGCTACCGATGAAGAAGCAGAAGATCCAAAAGAAGAAGAGCAGCCAAAGAAGAAAGAAGAAAGTGAAGCTGCGTCGGATCCAGAGTCTGATGAAGAAGAGTCAAAAGAAAGCGAGTCAGAAGAGGGTGATGAGAATGAAAAAGGAAAGAAGAAGGAAAGAAAAAGAAAAGAGACTATGGAAAGCTTCAAGAAGACAGCGGAAGAGCTGGAAAAGGAGCACGAAGAGCTCGTAAATGCAAAGAAGGAGAAGATCGAAGCCCTAGCATCTGAGAAGATCGTCTTATCGGAAGAGATCAGGGCAGGAATTATGGAGCAAGGCAAGACTATGGACAAGCGGTTGAAAGAGCTCGACGAGCTAGCAGCCGAAGCTAAGGAAAGAAGAAAGAATGTGGTATCAGCGGCGAACCAAGTCGCAAGTGAAGCAGAAGAAAAGAAAGGAGAGAAGAAAGAAGAAGAAGAAGAGAAGAAAGAAGAAAAGAAGGAAGAAGAGAAAGAGGAAGAGCCAGAGACCAAGGAGGTCAAGCCGGACCCAGAGAAGGAAATGGTCGATTCCTCAGGTGAAGAGGATGCAAAAGCCAGAAAGGCATTGAAGGACCAGTTTGATGTGGATAGAATGGCGATCTGGGATACGGTGGCAGAGAATGTCAATCTGCAAAGCATTCAGAAGAACCTGCCAAGTGAAGACCTCGAAAAGGAGTTCGTCAAGTGGTCAGAAGCCGTCCGCAAGCCAGTTGCAAAGTTGCCGACAGGTTTCGGTATAAGGACGAGCAATTTGCTTTCCAAGCTCGATGGAGAAATTGGTGATTATGGTGAAAGCATATCGATCATGACGGAAGACGAGAAAAATGCAGAGCAAGAGTTTAAGCAAGCTCAGAAGGACCTGGAAAGGTTCGAGAAGGAGCTGAAGAAAGAGATGGAAGAAAGGTTGGAAGAGAAGGTGAAGATCCTCAGAGAAAAGGAGGAAGAAGTCACTAGCGCACGAGCTGACGTCAGAAAGACAATGTTTGCAAGAGAAGCGTTGCAGAAATTCGGCGAAATGGTTCAAACAGCTGATAGATTGTTGAAGACGATTGGTGAAGAGTTTCCGTTGGACCTATACAAGGAGCCGGAAGAAAAGCAAGCAAAGGAAAGAGAAGCATTGGCCCAGTTGATGGCGAGCATCAAGCGGAAGAGAGAAGGGAGTAACCCCGCGACCGGTATCTTCGGCCAAAGGAACACCGGTAAAGCCACTACCGAAGAAGTTGCCGGATAAGTTCAAGAAGGCCAGAGCAGAAGAAGATGAGCTCAAGTCGGCAGATACGCTGCAGAAGCAAAAGGATCTGAAGGAAAAGTTGAAGAAGAAGTTCAAGGAGACCCCTGAAGACCAGATAGACAAGAAGGTGGATCTCGGGCATTTGAAGCCGAGTGAACCTCAGGGAGAGCCGCCAAGCAAGGAATTGAAGAGCGTGAATCCGCAGTGGCTCAAGAAAGATGCATTCCAAGGTGCAAAGTATATCCATTGTTTCTATTGCAAGAAGACAGATGGTCATAAAGCACCGGATTGCCCGAAGATGTTCAAGGCTATCGAGAAGTATTGCCCGAAGTCACCACGACCAGCCAAGGACAATCAGACAAGGAAAATATTCTGCAAGTACTGTTGGCTGATGTACACCCATTGCAAGTACAGAGATTATCAGTACAAAGGATGGGGGACACACAGTCCAGATATTTGTCATCACAGGAATGACGTTGAAGACTACATGAGTAGCAACCCCCACAAGTTTGCTGATGAAGTCAAGGAGATGAAGGAAGCTGAAAAGGCTAAAAGTGGTTATTCGCCAAAGAAGAGTTGGGGTACAGAGACGATGAAGTCAAAGAAGACAGCTGATGAAAAGAAGAAGGACGAAAAGGATGAAAAGAACAAGAAGAGAAAAGCCGATAAGTCCAAGGACAGCAAGGACAAGGACACAAAGAAGAGGAAGCGAGACGAAGAAGAGGAATTGATCTAAAGCCGGACATGCAAAGGTTGCGGTTTAAAGATCAAAGTTGAGTGAGGGCGGAAAGCCGCCCAGGGCAAGCGACACACCGTAAGGCAGGTGTATAAACAAGGCCGCAGTGTTTTGTCTCACACCGCTGAAAAGCCTGTGAGAAGAGAAGGAAGTTTCACAAAACGCAAAAGCTCAAGAAGCTTGCGAAAAGCGTGGTAAATCCACAGCAACAGCCAAGAGGACTGCGTAATGGTCCCAGAGCACACGACAAAGCACAACGAACGTGTTTAAAGAAAAGGCTGAAAGAGCCAGCAAAGGCTGAAAGAGCCAGCACAGAAGGCTTACAAAGCCAAAGTTCTTTTGCAAAGACCCTGAAAGGAGCTATGCCGAACAGACTAGTGAGAGCGCCTGAGTTTGTAGTTGGCAAGCGCGACTGTTGTAAAACAATGGTCAGCTTAACAGTTTCCGTTTACAGGACTAAAAGTCAACGACATCCACAACAAGCACAAAAGCGAGAAGAAGAAAGAAGAAGCCAAAGACGGTTAAAAGTGCTCAAAGAAGAAGCGTGTGAGAAGTGAAGAAGGCTCACAAGAGCATGCGAGAACCGTGGTGGATGTAGGAAAAGTTTCACAAAGATCACATTACACGACAAAGCTGTGTATGCGATGAGGGCGTAACAGATAGTTCAATTTTCCCTCATGTACAGTTACATACAAGAATCCAGTGTTTCACCGCAGGTCAAACCTGGGCTCAAGCACGGCCCAACAGTGGAGCTCTGGAGTAGAAAAGAATCCGAAGCTCGCGCCGTGGTTATAAGAAGTATACTGGTGTAAGGGTTTAAACTTTCACATGGGCGCACATGGCTTGGATGGCATGAGCCTTGCAACTGCTTTCGGCACGGCCTCTCAAGCTGGGCCCGTTGAGCTAGACCTACTGTTTCGCCAGCAGGTGAAAAACACATGACACGTGTTTTGCCTCGAACGCTTCCGCTGTGTTCGCTTAGAGTTTGTTGGGCCAACAGGATGTGTGCACAGCTTAACTGCGCGGAGCGGACATCCATGGCTTACGAGATCATGTTGTGCTATACATGAGAGCACGGGAGATCAGGAGTTCTGGATAGTTCTGGTATGCATTGTTCAATTCGATTGGTGATTCGGCGGTGCCCTGTTGATGTCATGATTTTGGTGTCGTATATAATATATAAGCATATATAAAAACACAAGTAAGTGTGTACATATATATTTACATATACATATATATATATGTGTGTGTGTGTGTGAATAATATGCAAGGTATATAGGCAACCGAAATGTACGAGAATCCGAATAGTGAGCCGGGTCGTGCGTGCGGCCCCCGCAACAACAGCAATAGCAGCAACAACTAGCAGCCGCCCTCCGTCCCTGCAGTTCCATGGCGCCCCTGGCGTTCCCTGCTAACGTCCCGTCCCTGCGCCTTTCGGGCGTCCCTGGCGTCCTTGATGTAGCATCAGCACATATAATCATCTCAAGAAACAGTTGCCGTATTCTGGTCGGTGTGCCCTCACGTTGACCCACGTGCCCAGCAGATGCTCAGCAGCCCGCGCTTTGATTATGACAGCCCCAGCCCAACGGCGTCGGCAACAAGACCACGTCGAAACTCCGACATACAAACCGCCCAGCTTGGTCTACGACAACTACGGCGCGACCATGGCCAAGCCGTTGCGCATTGCACCTTTATCATCTGCAACGCGTCGAGATTATAGACATTTGAGCCCGCAGGAATTTCAGCGTGCCTATCAGATGCTTGCGGTCCTGCCGCATTCCTGATTTGGCCCATCAATCGTCGTGTCCGGTGATGAGTGCAACTGTTGAGTTTCCCTACTGCACCCATCCGTACTGAGATGTGGGTCTACACATCAATACACGGCGAGCCCCTACAACAAGCTGTGGCAGGCTCGTGGTCATCGCATATTCTTCTGGAGCAGGGTTTCACGAATCCGAAGTGGTTGGAGGTGACAAACGGAAATTCCACCAACTCAGCTACTACCAACGGCACTGCAGCAAGAAACTCAGAGGGAGAAAGGCGATTGGAAGCTTTGCCTTCTTGCTGAAGAAGAGAGTCGTACTCGAGCAAAACAGTGGTGCTCGAGTATCCACTCCAAGGATGCAGTGGCTGAGTCCGCAAAGCCAGCTGGAGACTCAGTTCCGGACTTGCAGCCTTGTCGCACGCGTTCTTCGCGCTCCCGAGGCTTGAGGCACCCCCGTGATTGTCATGGTCGTTGGCAGAAGGATGGATGTCGACCAAAGATGGCGAAGGAAAAGTTGGCAGACCGACGCGCCGTGTATTATCAAGCTTCATGTGGAAGGGAGGAGACACGCTCAGATGTACCGAGATGTAGCGAGAGGGTACAATCCAGAACAATTCAAGACTGCTCAGAAATGCTTCATAGCGATTAGGAAGTTAGGGTCTGTTTGAAGCCTCACGGGACATGACAAGTAGGTTCTGCGGCACGGAGTGCACGAATCTCAATTATCTAGTTCTCCTAGTTACAAACCTGCTTCTACTTCATGCACTGGTCACTATTTTCCTCTAACAGTTGATGTAGGGAATCCGTCAAAAAAACTCCTGTTAGTCATGACACCCCGCTCCGAGCTGAGGCAGGGCATTCCAGCTTTTAGGGTTGCAGCACAGGTACATCTAGTTAAGCAGCAATTCCTGTAGGGCCGTCCGTTGCTCCCTAAACGAGGGACCATGAAGCACAACCCACATCTTCGACAGCTACTGAATTTGTGTTTCCGTCTAGCCGTCGACAGTCGAGGCAATCGCACCAGGATGCTATGTGTAGTGTACAAAATATGGCCAGCGTATGTCACTTCGTGTCAGCGCGTGATCGTGGCTTTGAAGAGAAATTCCAACAGCGACGCCATCATGAACAGCAATCTGGTTCAAGTTCAGGATTTGGGGAGGAGGGCGAGCCTCATGCAAGTATCGACAGCATCCATCCACTTCATGAGTTGATGTCGGTGATCTTTGCAGTTTTCTCCGCAGCACCCGTCCTGCCGCCAGCTGGGTTCAAGCAGGTGGATCGTGGATCAAGATATGCGTCGCCCGGACATGCCGCATAAGTTACAAACTCTGAGTCTGGCCTTTGCTATGAATTGGTTTGTATGACTGATGCCGGAACGCTTCACTTGCAAATCTTTCTGAGCCTTAAGAGCTGTGACTCTATACCCGGGTCGACACTGCCACTCGGCCTGGAACTGCCTGGCACCTAGACGTGCATTGCAAAAGGCATGTGAATCACAGACGTGCCACAATGCTTCTGCCAATCAGATGACGGAGCCGCGACCACCCACCGGAGCCAGTGAAAGCAGCCGTTTCGTCCTTGCAAACCGCCACCGCCAGACTTGTGAGCTCATGAATCTTACGGAAACACAGCGGTATTGGCTGTGATCACTTAGGTAGAAGTGGGCAGAGTGTTGGCAGCCGACAGAGTGCTGGCCCTAGTCGCGCGGCCGCAGGCTGCCAGTCAGAAAATCTCTTCCGAGGCCGAAGAAGTGCCACGGTGAGTGTCCACTCCCGGGCATCGGAGGTTTTCCTGCCGTGTCCATGCGGTGCTCTTGTCAAGCTGGGGCTGCAACTCTCCAGTGAAACCTGACTCGAAATCGAACCACACACAGCCACAGAAGCCGCACCTCGGACTCGCACTGCAGAAATGCGGGAATCGTTCCTTTCTGATCTGGAAGTTGATCTCGAAGGCGAGCAGGCATACCTACAGAAAACTGCAGGAGGAGGACGAATAGGAGGAGGAGGAGGAGGAGGAGGAGGAGGAGGAACAGCAGTAGGAGGAGCAGGAGCAGGAGCAGCCGGAGCCGGAGCCGGTGGATCTAAATAACAGAGTGGCGGCAGTGCAGGTAGCAGTAGCAGTATCAGTATCAATATCAGTAGCAGCAACAGCAGCAGTAGTCAGGAGTGGTAGTAGTAGCGGTGGCAGCAGCTGTGGCCGCTACCGTGGCCAGCGGTAGCAGTAGCAGTGCCACTATTAATTATTCCAACACAGAGGTACAATTCTTGGAAAACGGGAGCCAGAAACGTGCACTCTCACCGTGTCCAGCTTTGTCCCAGGAACCAAGCCCATCTAGTTATATTGGCGTGGGTTCCTCCTTCAGAATTCCCTGAGATGGTTTCAATCGATTTGGAGACGACCTGGGAATCCAATCGGTGTTTGGGGTCATGGTAGCAATAGACATTCAGATATGGGAATCGATATGATTTTAGATGCGTTGCGGATACGGTATGGGTATGCACCGGGATGCGGGTTTGAACGGTGGGAATAGTAGTAGTATTGAGATTGGCAGTGGCAGTGGCAGTTGCAGTTGCAGTAGGAGTAGGAGTAGTAGCAGTAGTAGTCGTCGTTGTCGTCGTAGTCGTAGTCGTAGTAGTAATAGTAGTAGTAGTAGTAGTAGTAGTAGTAGTAGTAGTAGTAGTAGTAGTAGTGGTAGTGGTAGTGGTAGTAGTAGTAGTAGTAGTAGTAGTAGTACTCGTCGTCGTAGTGGTCGTCGTAGTCGTAGTCGTAGTCGTAGTTGTAGAAGTAGTAGTGGTAGTAGTAGTAGTAGTAGGAGTAGGACTAGGAGTAGGAGTAGGGGTAGGAGTAGTAGTAGTAGTAGTAGTAGTAGTAGTAGTAGTAGTAGTAGTAGTAGTAGTAGTAGTAGTAGTAGAAGTGGTAATAGTAGTAGTAGTAGTAGTAGTAGTAGTAGTAGAAGTAGAAGTGGAAGTAGAAGTAGAAGTAAAAGTAGAAGTAGAAGTAGAAGTAGAAGTAGAAGAAGTAGGAGAAGAAGAAGTAGTAGTAGTAGAAGTAGTAGTAGTAGTAGTAGTAGAAGTAGAAGTAGAAGTAGAAGTAGAAGAAGTAGAAGTAGTAGTAATAGTAGTAGTAGTAGTAGTAGTAGTAGTAGTAGTAGTAGTAGTAGTAGTAGTAGTACCGGTACTGGTAGTAGTAGTATCAGCAGCAGCAGCAGTAGTAGTAGCAGTAGCAGTAGCAGTAGCAGTGGTAGTAGTAGTAGTAGCAGCAGCAGGAGTAGTAGTAGTAGTAGTAGTAGTAGTAGTAGTAGTAGTACTAGTAGTAGTAGTAGTAGTAGTAGTAGTAGTAGTAGTAGTAGTAGTAGTAGTAGTAGTAGTAGTAGTAGTAGTAGTACACACAGCAATCTGAAGCTTGATGCCTGGCAGCCTACAAACTTGCTTCGGCTGACCACTGCCAGTTAGCTGGAAGCCTGTAGGCCGCCAACACCCAAAGGTCTTTGACCTGGGCTGTTCAGCTATAGGGTCTGAGTCAGTTTCACACCATGTGAGTGCACCGCGGCAATCGCCCGCTATGTGCTGAGCCCGCTCGCACAGCGTTCAATTGAAAAATAGTAGTAGTAGTAGTAGTAGTAGTAGTAGTAATAATAGTTGCGAACGGACCTCGATGCCTTGTCCAATTCGTGGGCGTCACTGTCAAAGAGCTATGGGAAGCAATGTCATAATTCCATCATGTACATAGAGCAAGACACCGTCTCGCGGGTCTTGTCTCAAAACTTTGTCTGTACATGGGACCGCTAGTCGGACGATGTCACAGCATCAATCTTATATGCTCCGCGTAACGTAACTTTGGCTCAAGACCAATGTGTAGCCTATGCGAAAGAGCATACGCTTACTGCTGCTGCTGTATCTTGTAACGGACGACGGTGGGTTTAGCAACCGTGCCCTTTCTGTAAGGGGAGCACCGGGCCCCGAACTGTAAGAAACTCTTATAAAGCGAAATAAAAGGGAGCGTTGCACTCCGGACCGTTGCACTCCACCGAGTCGCAGCAATCGAGGACTGCTGGACTCCACATTACAAAACACATCCGTCCCAATCCATGGGCACTTGCACAAATGCAAGCGCTGGTCTCGGCAAAGGTGACGCCGCCGGGAGCATTTGAGCCCCCTCCACGGAAAAGCACACTGCCGACTCAAAACTGTACACATAAAAATCGGGGCCCCCATGCTGGCCGAAGCCAAACATAGGAGCCCCGGCGCCCCGCTCTCAGTTGATAGTAGGCCCGGCACTGGCAGCCGGCGAGGCGAGGCGGGCCCAGAGCACACGCTTACTGCCTAGCTATGGCTGGACGCCTGCAATCGATCAGGAAGCGAAGAGAGTCCTCCCGTGCACAGACAACTCGTTGCTCGCATTCCAACGGGAAAAGAGGCTGACCGAGTGTGCCTGCAAAGGAAGATAGGTGAGAGAGCCAACTGTTTTGGACGTTCGTCAAGGCAACCAACAAGATATACATCAGGTCTTGGTGAGGAGAGCGATACAGGCAGTACCCCGTTTTGTACCAAAACCTCACGCAGTAGTAGTAGTAGTAGTAGTAGTAGTAGTAGTAGTAGTAGTAGTAGTAGTAGTAGCAGCATAACCGCAATGTTCAGTTCAGCACTGGCCACGGCATCAAGAACCACTTCGTCACGCAGAAGCATGACCCTGTGCCACAGCCTGTTGCACAAGGAGCCAAGGCGGTTGCCTCCTCTGCGCCCTCCCCTCCTCCTCCTCCCAAACCCGCGCAACCACAGGAGATTCCACTCCCACCCAGCCGTACCCGTACCAAAGGGGTGGACAAAGCGGCCGGCTTCGCACCCCCGCCAGCCCCTCCTTGTCCCTTTACCTCCACGGCGGCAGAGAAAGCGGCTTTCCAGGAGAACCAGGCAAAGGCAAAGGCGGTGTCCTCCACCCTTCCGGCTAAGGCCCCACCGGCAACGGCGTCTGTCGCCAGTCCCCCGCCCTCGGCAAGCTCCCCCTTGCCCCCGGCTCCGGCTCCCCCTCCAGCCATCCCTGCTTCCCCAGCTCCCCCTCAGCCCCCCAATGTTGCTCCCCATCTCAAGAGCAGGCGGTGCCGGCTTCCTCCTCCCAGCGAGATCCCACGCCCCCCACTTCCTCCCGCCCCCCGTCAGCTTACGAGCCCCCGGCAAAGAATGCCCAGCCAGTCGGCTATGTTCCACAACCGGCACCTCCAAAAGTTGTCAAGTATACACGACTGGAGCTCGGTCAGTTGCTGAGCTCCCCATCTCATCAGGACTGGATTCGAGCACTGGCCTCAATCAAAAGCCTTCCCAGTAATAGGGCAAAAGCGCCAGTAATACAACAAAGCCTTCACCACTAACAACACAAAGTAGCAAGTGGTCAGTTGCTACGTCATTGCAGCACTGTTGATACAACAAAGCCTTCACCACTAACAACACAAAGTAGCAAGTGGTCAGTTGCTACGTCATTGCAGCACTGTTGATGCTGAGGTCTGTGAGCCCAGGAACATTGGACGGAACTACTAACAACACAAAGTAGCAAGTGGTCAGTTGCTACGTCATTGCAGCACTGTTGATGCTGAGGTCTGTGAGCCCAGGAACATTGGACGGAACTACTTACTGTGTACGCCTTGCTCCGCAATCCGCGCCGATCAAGGTGAGAGGTGAGGCAAGGCGCACATCCAGTCTGAGAAGCGAACCCTGCAGCGCTGAGCACAGTGTAAATCGACGTTTAGCTGGCAAACAGCTTTCTAGCGTTGCCATGGGAAGAAAGCGAAGCTCTTCAGACTCGGGCCGTCGACGTGCGGCGGGCTTGTTACGGGGCTTGGGGCTTATGATGTGCTCTTTGTCTGTAGAGCTTCTGCCAGGTAGAAAACGAACTCGGGCCGTCGACGTGCGGCGGGCTTGTTATGGGGCTTATGATGCGCTCCTTGTCCGTAGAGCTTCTGCCAGGTAGAAGCTCAAGCTCTTCAGACTCCAGTCCTGGACGTGCGGCGGGCTTGTTATGGGGATTATGATGCGCTCCTTGTCTGTAGAGCTTCTGCCAGGTAGAAGCTCAAGCTCTTCAGACTCCAGTCCTGGACGTGCGGCGGGCTTGTTATGGGGATTATGATGCGGTCCTTGTCTGTAGAGCTTCTGCCAGGTAGAAGACGAAGCTCTTCAGACTCCAGTCGTGCAGGCCTGTGTTCATTAAGATGATCTTTCCCTTTTCTGTAAATCGTTCCGGGCAGGCAAGAAAGCAAGGCGTGCTGTGGTCTCCGAGGCCAGATGCCGATGCATATCGTGGCAGCTGCAAAATCGCTGCCAAAGCTCGTTGGAAAGCCAGTACGATTGTTTGGTTCATGCTTTTCGGCTTGACTGCAGCATTGCAGTTGCTTGCATTTTAATCATATAAATGCATCTAGAAAGTTGGACATTGCAGAGCCAAGTGACTTCTAAGACGAGCTTCTTCGTATGTCGCACGGTTTCAGATGCAATGAGCCATGTTGTCATTCCGGACGATTCTGATGGCGACGTCCAGACATTGCGGAAGCCGCGAAAAGAGTGGACTTCTTTAGATGCGGTTTCAGATATTCCCACACCCAGAGATTTCACGGCGAAGCACTTCCGGCAGCACGTGCAGGAATGGATTTGCAAGAGTTCAGAACCGGGTAGCAAAACTGGTGGCAAGCCGGTTGGCAAGCTGGGAACGGTGTGGACAACCAGCGGCCTTCATCGTGTCAATGCTAGATGTGTTGATTGTCAAGAATGTCACCTGGGACGCGGACGCTTCTATCGGTTTGAATCCGAGCTTCACGGCGAGAAGTGGCATTTGAAAGTGTTTGTTTCTGGAGAGCCTTGTCTTTG